AGTGAGAAGAAACAGAAAACATATGCCAAGGTTTACTGGAGGCAGTGCTGATGGTACAGTGCAAGTGTTTCATGCCAGTGACACAACAGCACTGATATAGCATGATGAACAGAATGTTATGTTGCTGTCAACCATCTACAGAAATAAAATGGTACAAAGTGAACAGGGACACCAATGATCCCACTGTTAAACCAGCTGCTGTCATCAAATACAAATACAAATTTTTATTTCCTTTCAAGTTTACATTGAGATTATGTAATGACAATAATGAGTTACAGTGCAAAGAGAGCTACTATCATGCCATGGCATTACAGGCAGACTATATTTAATGGCTTACAAACTACTTAATACTAGAGAAATTGATCATAGTTTAAGTTGTACATCTGTTTTTATTTATAGCAGACAGTAAGTTTACTCAAAATACATCTAGGGATATTACATTGGGACAAGTTGGAAGTATTTTGTAGGTTGTGTATTTTTTTTTTTTTTCAACAAGTCGGCCGTCTCCCACCAAGGCAGGGTGACCCAAAAAAGAAAGAAAATCCCCAAAAAGAAAATACTTTCATCATCATTCAACACTTTCACCACACTTGCACATTATCACTGTTTTTGCAGAGGTGCTCAGAATACAACAGTTTAGAAGCACACACATATAAAGATACACAACATATCCCTCCAAACTGCCAATATCCCAAACTCCTCCTTTAACCCTTTGACTGTTTCCGACGTATAAATACGTCTTACGAGCCAATGTTTCTGACGTATTTATACGCATAAATTCTAGCAGCTTCAAATCAAGCAGGAGAAAGCTGCTAGGCCCACATGTGAGAGAATGGGTCTCCATGGTCAGTGTGCACCATATAAAAAAAATCGGGGAGCCAGTGGTGCATTGTGGGAATGCCATTTCAGTTGTCATTTTTCAGCATGTCTAGTGGTAAGAAATATGTGATTCCCCAGCAAATCTGGGACTCTTCTCTTCCCAAGTGATGCTCTAACACAGATGGAAGTGTCAGTGAAGATCAATTTCATGATTTGGAGGAGTTTGAGACCAAAAGCAATGGAGGAGGAGGAGGGGGAGGAGGGGAGGAAGAGGAGGAGGAGGAGGAGGGAAGGAAGAGGAGGAGGAGGAGGAGGAGAAGAGGAGGAGGAGGAGGAGGAAGAAGAAGATGTAATAATATTGTTCCCTTGAAGCAAGAAAAAAAAAAGTCCACCCCATGACAGTGACAAGATAAGGGGAGATAACATCTGATAAGAGCTGACTTTGATGAGCGTAAAGGAGGGTAATATTACATGACCATCGCCTCCCTTTGTTTTTGCTGGTACACAAACATTTCTGTCTGTCTATTTGTCTGTCTGTCAAGCTCCCTGTCTGTCCATCTAGCTCTCTGTCTCAGAGAGAGCCACAAGACTGTGTCATCACGTTTACTCACATCTTCAAGCAGAGTATAGCACTTTGTCTGGATTTCTTGGGTTATCCTAGGTAATTTACACTATGTATACTTGTATTTATGTGTACCTGTGAGACAGAGATAGGCAGACAGAAAGAGACACAGATTGAAAGATATAGAATGAGGGGGAAAGATAATTAGATAGAATGGAGGAGGGGAAGCAGCATCCGACCCCATTGTTTTGACAGGGGTAGGGGTAGTGACTAATGAGATAATATGTCACTTTGACAGCTGCCGACTTCTGACTCAAAACAATTATAAGCCACACACTCGCACACAAGGAGGAGAGGAGAAGAGGAGAAGGAGGGAGAAGGAGAGAAGGAGGAGGAGGAGGAAGAGGAGGAGAAGGAGGAGAAGGAGGAGGAGAAGAGGAGGAGAGAAGGAGGAGAAGAAGGAGAAGAAGGAGGAGAAGAAGGAGAGAAGGAGGAGGAGAAGGAGGAGAGAAGGAGGAGGAGAAGAAGGAGAAGAAGAAGAAGGAGAAGAAGAAGGAGAAGAAGAAGGAGAAGAAGAGGAGAAGAAGAAGGAGAAGAAGAAGGAGAAGAAGAAGGAGAAGAAGAAGGAGAAGAAGAAGGAGAAGAAGAAGGAGAAGAAGAAGGAGAAGAAGGAAGAAGAAGAAGAAGAAGAAGAAGAGAAGGAGAAGGAGAAGAAAGGAGAAGAAGGAGAAGAGGAGAAGAAGGAGAAGAAGAAGGAGAAGAAGAAGGAGAAGAAGAAGAAGGAGAAGAAGAAGAAGGAGAAGAAGAAGAAGGAGAAGAAGAAGAAGGAGAAGAAGAAGAAGGAGAAGAAGAAGAAGGAGAAGAAGAAGGAGAAGAAGAAGAAGGAGAAGAAGAAGAAGGAGAAGAAGAAGAAGGAGAAGAAGAAGAAGGAGAAGAAGAAGAAGGAGAAGAAGAAGAAGGAGAAGAAGAAGAAGGAGAAGAAGAAGAAGGAGAAGAAGAAGAAGGAGAAGAAGAAGAAGGAGAAGAAGAAGAAGGAGAAGAAGGAGAAGAAGAAGAAGGAGAAGAAGAAGAAGGAGAAGAAGAAGAAGGAGAAGAAGAAGGAAGAAGAAGAAGAAGAAGAAGAAGAAGAAGAAGAAGAAGAAGAAGAAGAAGAAGAAGAAGAATTGTTTGTTTGTTTGTTTGTTTGTTTGTTTGTGTAAACAAGTTTTGTAAACAATATATTGATAATTATGTTTGTGTGCTTATTGTGTTGTATACAACGAGTGTATATATATACATTGCACCTTACTTTGATCTCATAGGCCACATAAGTTATGTGAAAAAATAAAATAGTGAAAAAAACAACAAACCTTCAAATACAAGTAAACTAAAGTTTACCGGGTGAGCGGCAGTCGCCGCTGTTGCCATACGCGGCTCATTTTCTGCAAACTTCACGGCTCTATATCTCGGTAAGTACCAATGGCAAAAATTTTTTTTTTGGACTAAAACACTCAGAAAAATAATCTTAACATTTTCATAAGAAAAAATAATTTTTTTTTTTTTTGAATATTTGGCGACATAGAATGACAGTTTCAGAGAGGGGCCTGAAACAGTCAAAGGGTTAAAGTGCAGGCATTGTACTTCCCATTTCCAGGACTCAAGTCCGACTATATGAAAATAACCGGTTTCCCTGAATCCCTTCACTAAATATTACCCTGCTCACACTCCAACAGATCGTCAGGTCCCAAGTACCATTCGTCTCCATTCACTCCTATCTAACACGCTCACGCATGCTTGCTGGAAGTCCAAGCCCCTTGCCCACAAAACCTCCTTTACCCCCTCTCTCCAACCCTTTTGAGGACGACCCCTACCCCACCTTCCTTCCCCTATAGATTTATATGCTTTCCATGTCATTCTACTTTGATCCATTCTCTCTAAATGACCAAAACACCTCAACAACCCCTCTTCTGCCCTCTGACTAATACTTTTATTAACTCCACACCTTTTCCTAATTTCCACACTCCGAATTTTCTGCAAAATATTTACACCACACATTGCCCTTAAACAGGACATCTCCACTGCCTCCAACCGTCTCCTCGCTGCTGCATTTACCACCCAAGCTTCACACCCATATAAGAGTGTTGGTACTACTATACTTTCATACATTCCCTTCTTTGCCTCCATAGATAACGTTTTTTGACTCCACATATACCTCAACGCACCACTCACCTTTTTTCCCTCATCAATTCTATGATTAACCTCATCCTTCATAAACCCATCTGCTGACACGTCAACTCCCAAGCATCTGAAAACAGCCGATTCCCACCACCATTTGGAATTTTTATTCACACAAAAAATAGAAGATATACTGTTATGCAGACTACTGCATTATTGTAATAATTGTATAAATAATGTCAACCTATTCATATTATATTATTATATTCATATTATATTGGCAGTTTGGAGGGATATGTTGTGTATCTTTATATGTGTATGCTTCTAGACTGTTGTATTCTGAGCACCTCTGCAAAAACAGTGATAATGTGTGAGTGTGGTAAAAGTGTTGAATGATGATGAAAGTATTTTCTTTTTGGGGATTTTCTTTTTTGGGTCACCCTGCCTCGGTGGGAGACGACCGACTTGTTGAAAAAAAAAAAAAAAAAAAAAAATTCATGACTGCATATTGGAATGGCGAATCAGACATCGCCAAAGAATCAAACATTTCTGCTACTTTGAGCTCAATTTCAAGGTACTTTTTGTCATGAAATCAATCAAAATCATATCTATTTCTGTATATCTATTTCTTCCATTCTATCAAATGAGACCAAAAAAACGAGAATACAACCATAAAAACCACACAAAAATACAGTATACCGCTAAGGGGCGGCTAATGGCTGAGAAGTGAACTCCGTTATTTGTGGTCCGATTTCTTTCAATTTTGGTGAACGTTAAGAAGCATCTTTCCATCGTACATTGCCCAAGTTTCAATAAGATAGTCTAACAAACAAATGAGATCCAATTCCCGAGATCAAGAGCAAGAGCCCCTCACCAGCGTCAAGGAACCTCCCTTGAAGCCTGATCGCATCTTGAAATTTCGCTCGTGTCTGGAAGCAAAAAATCAACCAAGCAACTGCTCATATCTGGAAAAACTCGCAAGCAGGTGCACTCGTAAGTAGAGGTTTCAATGTATTTGTAGACAATAATATGTGACTGAGGCAGGTGTATAGTCACCCGTCAGTGTGTACATGTGTGTGTCAAAATGATTACTATTTCTGTACCTAATATTTGTCAGAACAGCAATTGGCAATGAAATCAAAAGAACTACTATAAATCATAATTATCATACCATGAAAACTAAGAAAATAAAAAAAATGGAAAAAAAAAAAAAAAAAATATATCTGCAACATTTCTGCAAGTGGCAGGACTCCATGTTGCCATCACGTGAGCATCCAGTGCCAACTTCGTGGCCTTATATCTCTTTAAGTACTGACCTAAAAACAATTTTATGTCTTATTACACACAAAAAATTGCCCTCTGTTTAAAAGAAAAATCAAAATACTCAGAGCACTAGCAGTAAAATGTAGATCAATGGTCTGACATTTAAAGGATTAATAAACCTGAAATGAATTTTTAAAATTACCTTGCTTGGATTGTATGGATATGCAGTGGCAAATGCAAGATTTGCAAAAAGAGATGTCGGAGGAAGTGTAGCAGTGAAGTGTTGTAAAAGAGCACTAGCTCCACCGCTAGTGGATGACCACGTAAGAGTGGCTACACCAACACCAGTTGTAACTTCCTTGTCCTGAAAATATATGTAAATGTTACTCCTTATCCTCTTTTAAAGCAAAACAAAACTTACAAAAACAAATTAATATGAGACACCATGGTTGCTCAATATATTAATAGATGGGATTGTAAGATAAGTGAATGCTTGGGTGTTAGGAAGAGGTGTGGGATTAAAAGCTAAAGAATCTAACACAAAGTGGAAGTTGTCACAGTTGCTTTTTGCTGATGATACTGCTTTTCGGAGATTCTGAAGAGAAGTTCGAAAGGTTGGTGGACAAGTTTGGGAGGGTATGTAAAAGAAGGAAGTTAAAAGTGAACGAAGTAAAGAGCAGAGTGACTAGGATAACAAAAAATTTAGGTAATGAAAGACTGGATATCAGATTGGAGGCAGGGAGTATGAAGGAAGTGAATGTCTTCAGATACATGGGAGTAGACTTTTCAGCAGATGGGTCTATGAAAGACAAGGTGAGCCACTGAACTGACAAGGGAAAAAAGATGAGTGGTGCACTTAGGAGTCTATGGAGACAAAGAACATTGTCCATGAAAGCAAAGAAGGGAATGTATGGAAGTACAGTGGTACCAACGCTCTAATATATGGGTGAAGAACAGGGGGTGAATGTTACAACAAGGAGAAGGCTGGAGGCAGCGATATCATGTCTGAGGGAAAATGTGGTGTGAATATTATGCACAAAATTCATAACATGGAGATTAGGAGTAGGCGTGGGGTTATTAAAGTATTATCCAGAGGGCTGAGGAAGGGTTGATGAGATAGATGGTTTGAACTTCAGAGAGGCAGGAACGAAGCAGAATGACTTGGTAGTTGTATAAATCTGTAGTGGAAGGAAGGAAGGTGGGGGTAAGGGTTCAGCCTAGGAAAGGATGGAGGGTAGGTAAAGAAAGTTTTGTGTGCGAGGGGGCTTAGACTTCCAGCAACCATGCGTGAGCGTATTAGATAGGAGTGGAGACGAATGTTTTTTATGACTAGATGTGCTGTTGGAGTGTGAGGAGAGAAACATTTTTTGGAAAGGTTTCGGGAAAAACCATTTTAAGCTGGATTTTGAGTCCGGGATGTGGAGAGTACGGGGCCTGCACTCTGAAGAGGGGGAGTTTTGATGCAGTTTTGAACCTTGTATTGGCAGGGCCTCGGGCACAAAAAGTGGGGTGATGAAAATAAAAGGGGTTTCCCTTTTTCTTTTTCGGGGTAAACCCTTTCCTTGTGGGGAAGGGCCCCAATGGTTATAAAAAAAAAAAACCTGTTTTTATATTATTTAACCCCCCCCCAGCAGGTAGTGTTTTAAATGCCAGTGACAGTGAAAATTTTACAAAGTCAGTATAAATAAAAAAAAAAAACTAAGGGGCCCAAAATGGGGGGCCACATAAACGTTTTTTTGCATGTCTTTTGTCAAAAAAAAATTTAATGAAAATTACAGTGGCCCCCGATTTATCGAATTAATCCTTTCCTGAGAGAGTGATAAACCCAAATCTAAACGTTTTCCCGGGAATTCATTTGAAAGGAAAAAAAAGGGGGGGGGGGGGGGGGGGGGGGAATAGGGGGGGGAAATTTTGGAAGGGGAGAGGAGGGGGAAGGGGAGGAGAAATCATGGTTTTAGGGGGGAATGTGGCCCAGTTAGAGTATGTAGGAAAAGGGAGATTATTCCCCAATAAAAGTAGGCCTTGGGCAAAGGGTGTTGATTTTAAAACCCTGGGTTTTTCAATATATTTATAGATGGGGGTTTTTAAAAAAGTGAATGGGTAGCGTTTTTGGAAGGGTTTTGGAAATTAAAGAATTTAAACAAAAAATGGGAGTTGTCACAGTTCTCTTTGCTCAGAACGGTGCTTTGGGGATTTGAAAGAATTTTCCAGAGGTTGGTGGATGAATTTTGGGAGGAAAATGGGAAAAAAAGAAAAAAAATTTTTAAAAAAGGGAAAAAAGAAAAAAGTAAAAGGGTTTTGAGGGGTAAAAAAAAGGGTTTGGGACGAAAGGGAAATGGATATCAAAATTGGGGGGGAGAGAGTTTTGGAGGAGGTGAATGTATTCAGATATTTAAAGGGGTGGGGTTTTCAGCAAAATGGGTTCCCATAAGGAAAAGAAGTGAAATTTCCCAAATTTATGAGGGGGGGGGAAAAAGGGGGAGTGGTTTCACTAAGGATTTTGGGAGACAAAGAAAATTTGTCCCTGGAACAAAAAAGGGGGGGAAAGTATGAGATAAAGTTGTAAACCCAAAACCCTTTTTTATGGGGGTGAAGCCTGGGTGATGAATGTTTGGGAACGAGGAGAAGGCTGGAGGCATTTAGATTCATGGGCTGAGAAAACGTTTTGGGTGAATTTAAAAAGCAGGGAATTCGTAGTTTGGAAAATTTGGGGAAGATGTGGGATTACCAAAAAAAAAATTTTCCCGGGGTGAGGAGGGGTTGTTGAGGTTGGTTTTGGAAAATGCAGAGAGAATGGGGCAAAAAAAAGAATGACTTCGAGAGTGTATAAATCGTATGGAGGGAAGGCAGGGGAAGGGGGCAGCCCAGGAAAAGTTGGAGGGGGGGGGGTAAAGGTTTTTGTGTTCGAGGGGCTTGGGGCTTCCAGCCAAAGGTTTCAAAGACGATTTGATAGGATGAAGGAGAAAAAATGGCTTTTTTAAAACCTGACGGGGGTGGTTTTGTGTGTGGCAAAGTAATATTTATTTAAGGGAATTTAGGGAAACCGGGAGGCCGGACTTGAGTCCCGGAAAAAGGGGGAAAAACAGTTTTCTACACTTGAAGGAGGGGGTTTTTTAATGTTTGGGAGTTTTTATAACTGTAGTGTAAAGCCCCCTCTGGGAAGACCCGTTTATAGTTTAAAAGATTTATTTAAAGTTTTTCTTTTTCAGGTCATACCCTTGGGGGGAATCAGCCGATTGTTAAAAAAAAAAAAAAAATTAAAACCGTTCCCGGGGAAACCCCCAAAAAATTTTAAAAAAAAAAAATTTTTTTTTAAAGAAAAAAAAAATTTACCTACACAGGAAAAAAAATGAGACATACAAATAAAACAAAAAAAGACCCCTTACCTTTAAATTTAAAACTTGTCGAGAGGATGAGATGGGGGGAGGGAGAGGATGGAGGGTGTACTATTTCCCGTGGTTTCCCCGGGTACAAAAATTAAATTTTGTTCCAGGTTTTTTTTGGGGCCCAAAACCCAAAAAATTTAATTCCCCTAAAGGGAAAAATTTTATAAGTTAATTAATCCATTTCAAAAACCCCCCAAAAATATACTTACAAAAGCAAATTACATAAATTTCCCCTTTCATAACTGTTTGAGTTTTTTGGGGCCGTTCGTATCCCAAGGTATCACTGTATTTGGAAGGGGGAAACCCCCTCCATAATGACCCTTTAGGTAAAAAGTCCCTTTCCGGGCTACTCCCCTTCTTTGTTTTTTAAAGCCACTAGGGCCCGATTGGGAAAAAATGGCCCATCGCACAAAAACTTGTTCCAGAGAGGGCCCGTATCGCGTTTTTTTTCAAAAATTTTCCCCAAAAAGGGGCACAAAAATTGGGACTTTTACAAAGTTCCAAAAATGGCCCGCAACAGCTTTGTCAGAGTGATGTTTGCACCTCACTCCACTTTGCACAAATGTCCTTCATCTTTGAAGAAGGCACCTTCCTCCATCTCTCATCTTCCTCCTTTGAGGCAATTTCCTGAGCTGTGGTCTGTTGCTGTTGCAGATGAAGGCCTTGCAGCTCTTCAGTGGTTAGTTCTTCATTGTGGTCCTCCACCAACTCTTCCACATCCTCGCTACTCACATCCAACCCCATGGAAGTCCCTAATGCCACAATACTTTCCACAACTGCCATAGGCTCATCAGGGTCAGTCCCAAACCCTTCAAAATCCCTCTCTTGGACACATTCTGGACACAATTTTCTCCAAGGAGAGTTCTAAGTCCTGGAAGTCACTCCCTCCCAAGCTTTACCTATTAGGTTTATGCAGTGGAGGATATTGAAGTGATCTTTCCAAAACTCTTTTAGGGTCAAGTTGTCTGAGGTCACATCAAATCACCTTTGAAACACTGCTGGAACAAGTGTTGAAGCCTTCAAGAGGAAACTAGACAAGTATTTTCACCAGGTGCCAGATCAACCAGGCTGTGATGGATATGTGGGGCAGCGGGCCTCCAGCAGCAACAGCCTGGTTGACCAGGCGAGCACCAGACGAGCCTGGCCCATGGCCGGGCTCAGAGAGTAGATATACTCTCGAAATTCTTCAAAGGTATATCAAAGGTACAGTTTTTTGAAGTTTGAAATGACCTGCTGGTCCGGGCTGGATGAGAGGAATGGTATTAGGGGGCAAGAACTTCACTGTGATGAAATGAAACTCCTTCACCATTTGCTCTTCCAAGTCTGGAGGATGAGCAGGTGCATTGTCCATTACCAGGAGGCACTCGAGTTCCAATTTATTTTCCAGGAGGTATTTCTTCACACTGGGGCCAAACACTTCATTGAACCAATCAAGGAAAATGTCCCTCGTGACCCATGCCTTACTGTTTGCCTTCCACATCACACAATTTACTCTTGGCAGCACTGTTTTTCTTTAACACACTGGGATTTTCAGTGAGATACACCAGTAAAAACTTCACTTTGAAATCCCCACTAGTATTTCTACAGAACATAAGTATTAGCCTGTCTTTCATAGGCTCGTGTCCCGGGAGGCCTTTTCCTCCTGCGTGATGTAGGTCCTTTTTGGGATTTTTTTCCAAAAGAGGCCTGTTTCATGACAAATGAACACTTGTTGGGGTTTGAATTTTTTCAGCCTCTATGTACCTCTTGAATTTCCCTTTAACATATTTTTCAGCCAAATATTTTTCAGAACTTTCAGCTTCGCCATGCCTTACAACTGTGTATGCCACTACGCTTCTAAAAATCTCGAAAACCAGCCTTTGCTGGCCTTAAATTCACTTAGATCAGCACTAGTTCCAGGCATTTTCTTTACGAGATCTGCATGCAACTGCCTTGCCTTTTCACAAATACTGACTGCATGACACTACCCTCCTGAAAA